GTGTGTGTGTGTGGTGTGTGTGTGTGTGTACCAGTCCTGGGGCCGAACTCAGCTCCTACGTCCTTCATGCTGTTTCTGAACTTTTGTGCTCAGTGCTAGCATTCTACCAGTTGAGACACACCTCTATTTCTGGCTTCTTCACTGTTGGAAAAGAGTTGTACAGAAGGGAAAGGACTAGAATAAACCTTGTGGTGATAGACTGGAATCAAAGGCACTGATTTGAATGGAGGTTTCAATATGTAAATAAACAGAAGTAAATGTTGTATGTATACAAATGTATACCAAGTGGCCTGGAACCAGGAACATAACAGCACTGAGCACACTTGGTGCTAGCTCTTGGTTTCGTTTCTTTTGCATGGGCTGGAATTGAACCATGATCCTCCAGATTTCAGCTTCCGGAGTAGTATCTTTTGAAGTAAAGAACTGGATATATTAACATGATCCACGAAAAACCATCCTTTGGCCTGTTTACAGCATATCAAAGCAACAAGAACAGTTTTTATTCCCCTTTCTTGGCACCTGATTTGGTCTTTGAGTTTAAAAAGATGAGTCCTTTCCTGCCCTGCTCCCTTTTATTCCCTGCCATCTGCTAAGCTCTGCAACCAAGTAGAGCCAAGTAGACTGGGAAGGACTTTGCACAGAGTCGTGGTGGGCAGAAGACAGTCACATGCTCAAGGTGGAACACAGCATGACCTCTGCACACATATTGGTAGGACTCTCAGTCTGACATCTAAAGTGGTGGCAGTTTGGCTGAGGAAAGAAATTCAATGTGTGAAAAATGAGGAATGGTTTCATTTGTGACAGGTGCAGTGGAGCTAGAACAAAGACATGTTCTTGAAGGCCATTCCTAGAGTCAGGGTGTAACCTGAATCACCCCAAGACTGTACACTTTAAACTGCAAAGGTGATTCACCTAATCTTGTCTGGTTAATCCTGAGCCTGGCCCCCGTCCATGCTCTACAATCAGCCTCCTACCTTGCTTCGTATCACTTTATACCCTTGGGTTCTGGCTAGAATTTTAAGATGCTGGAAACACAATAGGAAGACAAAACCTAATGTGTTGAGATAGCTGGCTGTCATAGTTGATTCTTGTACTTTTTCTGAAGACATTAGTGAGTTCTTGGTGGGTTAAAAGATGAATTCAGCATAAACAGTTTCTTTCACTCTGCTCACAAAGACCTGTTCTTTGGTTTGGAGCTGCAGCTGCTATTTTCAGAGCCAGGCTGCATTGAGACAGAATTTTTTTTGTGTGCATCAATTACTTGTGTGGGGGGGTTCATTTTGATATTTATGCCAACAGTGTACCTTGACCAGTCATTCCCTCCTCCCATGTCCCCTTCCCAAACCAATCTCTGAGCTTCATTGTTTCATTTTCACATACATCAAGTATTTTGACCTTTATCCTTCTTCACCCTCTCCATTCACCCACCCTCCTGCCAGTACCCACAACACAGACACGACTTGTTTCTCCTCCTTAATGTGCTTCTTAATCTTCAGATTATGACCTGGGAGCCTTGTTTAAGAGGCACCAGTAATTCATACCTGTAATCCTACTTACCCAGAAGGCTGAGATGAGAATCCTGGTTCAAAGCCAGCCCAGGCAGACAATCTTATCTCCAGTTAACCAACAAAAAGCCAAAATAACCAGGCACCAGTGGCTCATGCCTGTAATCCTAGCTATTCAAGAGGCTGAGCTCTGAGGATCGAGGATTGAAGAAAGGAAAATCCATGAGACTTCTCTCCAATTAACTACCAAGAAACCAGAAGTGGTGCTGTGGCTCAAAATGGTAGAGCACTAACCTTCAGTGAAAAAGCTCAGGGACAGTGCCCAGGCCCTGAGTTCAAGCCCCATGACCAACAACAACAACAACAAAGCCAAAAGTGGAGCTAGCTGTAGATTGATTGATAGAACACCAGCCTTGAGGGAAAAAACAAAAACCCTGAGTTCAAGCCCCAGTACCAGCACAAGAGCAAAAGTAGAACTAGGGTTGGTGGTGAATTTCCCAGGTACAAACACAGCGGTAGTAGGTGCATCGCAGCAGCCTCACTGTTATAGTAAGTGGATTTATGACTAGACATTGTCTCTTGGCTACAGTCAAGAGAACGTGCGTGACCCATGCTTTGGGACC